CTGCAAAGACTCAACGTCAGCCAAGGCGAGTGAGAAAAGGAAGGGTGCGCCGCTCTACATTGTGTACAATTGCGCGTGTGAGTTCTGCATTGGCAATACCACAACTATATCAACAACACGCTCGGTGAGGTGAGCATCTACAACATATCATCAATACCAAACCCTCACGCACTTGACAATGTTGCACAACCGCACGGTGACGTCCAAAATATGTTTTGTTTCATTCAAGAACCGGTGGAGATTGTGAATAGCTCCATTTTTCCATTCAAGTTGGAGCAGAAGATATCTTTTCAGCCATGTCAAATTGCAGTGTTTTGTCGATTCTTAATTTGTTTTGGAGTTGAAGCTTGCATGATTATTTGTTGGCATGGAGTTTTTTGTTTTTATTTGGCACTTGCTTTGAACCACGCCCGCGTCTGTCCCCTCTCGGCAACCCAAACCACAAAGCTCCCATCATCTGGGGCAGCGACTTTCTTCAGTGAGAATCCAAGAATAGAAGATGACAACCCCAAGCTCTAAATTACTTGTAACACTTCAACCCTAAACCCTAAACCCTAAACCCTAAACCCTAAACCCTAAACCCTAAACCCTAAACCCTAAACCCCATTTTCGGGGGCTCCAGCCCCAAATTGAACCCACCAAGGGAGGGCCCCAGGGGTCGCAGCAGCTTTTGCAGCAGCCTCTTTGCTTTCAACCGAGTGGGCTCTGTACACTGTTGAAGACTCGTGGCTGGGCCTTCACCATGGCTGTTGTGCTGCATCTTCTGCTGACTCTTCATCTCAAGACGAGATGTACAACGACTAAAACCCTGGAGCCTAAACCCTGCACACTCAACCCCAAACCCTAATTAAATCTTTAAACCCTAGTAAAAACCCAAAACCCTAAGTTTAAGTTGAATTGCGACCCGGGCGCATCCAGTGGTAGCCGCTCCCCGAAAGTGCTGGCTGTCCATGCTATGCGAAGTTGGCAGAGTAGCTCCTGCGGAGCTGGGGCGTTTCGGGTTCAGGGTTTAGAGATAGGGTGTATAGGCTGTATAGGGTTTATAGAGTTTAAGGCGTCTCGCCGCGCAGCGGCAGTANNGGGGAGGGGGGGGGGGGCGGCATGTCAAGCGAAGGCACATGTTTCTGAGTAGTCCCACAGTTTTTGCTGTTAGGTCTCCTTCTCCAGCCCGCCCCCGCTTCCCAGGCCACCGCCCAAGCCATTGCCTTTTGGGGTTTAGGGGTTCCTGACAGGAGGGTCCTAGGCCAGGAGTGTTGCAGGAGGGCGGGTCAGGTTCAGGGGTCCCACAACCAAACGCCCAGCGTCCAACGGCTTGCACTAGGCATAGTATCATAGCACAGCCCAGATGGGGACTGTCTTCGACCATCTCCCCATAGGCATCACCCCATATAAGATTTATCTTCTGGGTCCAGGCACCTGGTGTTTTGCAGTTGTTCGGTTCAGTACGTGCTGGATGCTGCATTTTGGCTCGGTGCCGTCGTTGTTCGTTTGCCCTCCGAGGCTATTGGAGTGGCCCTTAACTTCCCAGACCCCCAGCATTGAATGAATACGCTTTAAGAAACCCCTGAGGCAGCAAGCGCTTGAACCTTGTAATTATTAAACAACCCTATAGGACCGCACTGCAACCCAACAAACTCCAATTATTACTCCCGAAGAATTCAAGCTTAAACCCCAAACCCCACCAAAAATCTCCCAAACCCAGCTATAATAGTCAGCCACCTGACGAAGCTGGAACTTCGGTCAGCTTTCAACCCTTGAAGCTATCTCTGACACTGGCAACCCGATGGTCGAGCGGCCTGTGCGCTCAGCGCTTACGGTCTGCACTGTCTTGGGCTTTGGGGCCTTTTTGCTGCTCCCGTCGGTGGCCGCCTGGTCGATCTTTCATTGCGCGGTTTGGGGGGCTATAATATGTTTCTGCGGTTGGTCTGGTCTGTCGACCCTAAACCCTCCACCCTAAACCCTAAGCCCTAAGCCGTTCAAGGCCTTCTTCGCGGTACCAAGTGAAGTTGGCATCCGGACCAACGAGAAGGGGAACTGCGAGAGGCTCCTCAGCTTACACTCTTGGGGTTTACGGTTTAGGGGTTTGGGCTTAGAGTTCAGAGTTTAGGGAAACCCAGAAACGTGATTGCCCAACTGCCCAACCATCCGGCAGTTTAGGCGTATTGGTTTCGTGAAACCCAAAGGCATCGAACTCCCAAGACCGTGCCAACGCCCTGAACTGCTCCATAAGCCCAAGCCTTTGGCCGTAGAATGCAACGACCTGAACCTTTCTGGCCTTATGCCAAAACCACCCTCAAGCCTGTAGTCTTGAAGCCGGAATCCGAAATCCCAGAAGACTCCACGACCCTAGACTTTCAATCCCAAGCCACCAAAACGCTGCAGAAGATCTCCCAACGACCCCAAAAACCTAAGCCCCTTAAACTCCGGGGCCTAAACCCTAAAAGCCCTTAAACCCCAAAACAACAATCCCTCCAAAGAAACAGCAACGAGCCCTAAACCCGTAAACTCTGACCTAAACCCCTAAGCCTAAACCTCTAAAGCCCTAAACCCCTAAACCCTGAATTTGCAATTAAGATTGTATGTCGCCTCGTTAAGCATCTTGGCGTGGTTCTCGCTTGGATGGTCCGCAGACGTCTTGCACAAACCCCCAAACACTTAAAGCCTAAACCCTAAACCCCTAAACCCTAAACCCCCTGGCC